GTATAGATAGATAGATAGATAGATAGATAGATAGATAGATAGATAGATAGATAGATAGATAGATAGATAGATAGATAGATAGATAGATAGATAGATAGATAGATAGATAGATAGATAGATAGATAGATAGATAGATAGATAGATAGATAGATATATAGATAGATAGATAGATAGATAGATAGATAGATAGATAGATAGATAGATAGATAGATAGATAGATAGATGGATAGACATAATGTACATTAGAAATTGAATGGATTTGTTTGGTGACTTTTTCTTCTTTTGCTCATACTAAAGTGTTGTAGACTATTGAATGCTCTTCTACCTGGGTGTATTGCTCACACGCCAGCACCTATCCTTTTCTGCATGGGCCAATAAAACAGTTTGATCTTATATTGGTCCACAAATAACGCGTATTCATTTACATTTAGTAAAACTGTGGAGTTTCCCTTGTGTATCACTCAATTGAGTGAAAGGCTCTCGGTTTTCTTGAGGAAGTGGTGTGGTACTGCAGCTGTGTGCTGCTTCAAAATTTCAAAATGTTCTTTTTAACGAAGGCCGTACGCAGAGGACGACATGGAGCATGAAAGCGGACGCCCAGCATACGCTTGCTCGCACACATCCACTTGGGAGAGTCGTGCTGCCTGCAGGAGCAAATGAGTGGCCTGGCGTGACAAACACCCTACGCAAACATGCAAACACACTCTGAGGGCCGCACCTTGTCCTGCAGCTCTCAACATCCATACATGCATGGCCCTTGAATTTACTGTGGAAAAACGCCCCGAGCAATGCAAGTGCAAGGTTACATTTCCGACACGTGTCAATAAAGAGCCCTACCATCCCAACTTATTGCGTCAGGACGTATGGACTTATGATGTCACCAAGGTGCCAAACAATACCAAGGACATGAATTAATGAATAAAATAGCACACACACAGTGTGTGTGTGTGTGTGTGTGTGTGACCGTATATTTAAGTGTGTGTGCGTGCGCGTGTGCGTGCGCGCGTGTGTGTGTGTGTGTGTGTGTGTGTGTGTGTGTGTGTGTGTGTGTGTGTATAGAGATCTGTCTGTCTGTGTTTGCACACCATGCTTTATGTAATATATGTGTGTATAGGTATGCATTTGTGTGTATATGTAGATGTGTACACTGTGTGTCTAGTGGGTAGGAATGTGTTTGTTGTAGGTTTGTGCTAACTGCTGCCTTTAAAAGCATTTTATTTCAATCAAATCGGGGGAAAGACCCTCCCACTCAAACAGACAGACAGACACACACACACATACTTAAGTGTGTCCAGTGTCTCATGAGTAGCTCAAGTGTGAAGCATCACACAACTTGACCGTCATGTGCATGTCACATTCCAGAATCTGTCTTTTCTTAACTTGATCCTGCTGCTCAAAATCTTTTTCTTTAGTTCTAGCTTGGAGGCAAGGAGTCGATTTGCGGTGTGTGTGTGTGTGTGTGTGTGTGTGTGTGTGTGTGTGTGTGTGTGTGTGTGTGTGTGTTTTATTTCCGTCTTAACTCAAGCAGTGTAAATATGTTTGGCTCATTGTGATTAGTTTCAGCCCCTACGCGCTCTCTCTCTCTCTCTCTCTCTCTCTCTCTCTCTCTCTCGCTCTCTCAGGCACACGGGAAAACAAGGCAGATATTTAGAGGGTATTTTGTCTTATTTTCGTTTATTTCACAGAGCTAAAAGCTCAAAATCAAGTCTCAATTTTCTGTCGTGAATTTTGATGAATCTTTTTTATATGTCAAACTGAAGTACAAAATGAAGGCTTGTATGAAGGCTTCCCATCTTTCTGTTCGCTATTGTGTTGAAATTGTTTGGACCTCGGTAATCCTAGATTTTATTCGCACAATTCTTTTGCAATTCGGGTGCATGCAAAGAAAATGTTAGTTGAAGCAAGGCGTTTGCGTATTGTTTGTACAGTATTGCTGCAAAGTCCACGACAGACGCGGGGGCGACGTTTTCTGCCGGCACGGCGTCATGTGCTTGGCACATTGTTGAACACGCAGCACATGACACAACGAGCAGCGGGACGCCACCACATTTGTGGGTCGACAAATCGCTACTGAAACGGTTCTCAACCCAAGCTGTTTTGTCACTTTCGGTACAACGAAACAAAGGAACCCATCATGCAGTTTAACTCGATTCAACGGGACAACAACATTACAACAGTCGGAGAAATTGTTTATTTTCAAATCATTTAATTACAATTCACAGCGGCTCCAAATGAAAAGATTACTCAAAGATATGCCCGCCAAATTTAAAGCACATTGCTCATCAAATATAAAACGAGTGTACATAAGCATGGCTCAATTATTTCATGTGTTCTGTGAATTATTTACGAGGTTGTAAAATATTGTGTCAGCGGCGAAACAAACAACAACCAGATTAGCAATTATGCTATTTTATCCCCCAAGATAACTGATCCTAATTATATTGTGAATGATCTTATAATAAAAATGCAGTATACCACCGCTGGATCGAGGCCACCATTCATTGACTAGTGTGTTTATCAAACAGCAAATTCGTTACCTTGTTTCAACTCGCGTGGTCAAAAAATACCTCATCAATGTAACTGACAATAATAAGAATTGATAGTCATCGATTTAAGATGGTGATACCTACACAGAAAATAGGGTGTGTTGAATTTCCCCTATTCTATTTCGTCCAGTGGTTGTACACAATAAAGTGCCCTGGAGTCAGATACATTTTTAAGTAGATCTTTAGTCGACTTAAAAATGCATCTGGATTCAGATGGAGAAATAAATTCAACGAAAACCTTTCCAGTGGAGGAAAAAGGAAAAAGGGATGTACACAGAATTGGTCATGAAACATGACGCGCCTTTCTGCAAAGAGGAAGTAGGTCAAGGAGTACAAGCAAAACATCGAGTCTTCTGCTTCTTCTTGTGTTTTGACGCTCGCCGGCAGAAAGGTTGCGTATTCGCCCTCTAAATCGAATCTTACCTCGTCGTTTGGTGACAGAAACAAACAAACAAACAAACAAACGGAACATGATAACGTCGATCAGTCGTGTCCAACACGCTGGTTCTTTGGAAAGCACGGAAAACCTTTGGCAAAAGCTCGTGTTTTGAACTTCAGGGCGAAGAAATGGCCGCAAAAGCCGAGCGGTCGCAGCGCTAAGTCCAACTGCCTGGAGCGTAGGCAGCCCGCCTTTGTTTGGCAGGCGGTGGGCCTCATCATGCTGGGCCGCACGTGGCCACTGGGTGTCACTCGTGCTCCACCCGAGAAGCTTCACCCTTCCCAACTTGACCGCGCTGACGTCACAGCAGTCTGGAGCATCAAGGCCACTTCCATGCCGCGATTGGTCTTGAAAGTCACATGACCACGTCTCCTAGCATCCATAATTATGTTGCTGATATATTTTTGGCGCCCCCCTCCTTCCTAAAAGATGTCAGCATCCTCCTGTCTTTCTTGTGTCGGAAGGATCCACCACCGGGGCTAAAACCATGTCATGTCCCAATAACATGGCGGCCGGCAACTTCCTGATGGATTCCTTAATGGGAGGATCATCATCATCTTACAGGAGTGACGCTTACTCCAACGGGCCCGGGATGTTCGTGGACTGCGGCTACTCCGGCGGGAGAAACACGGAGGCCAAGCTGGCCCCGTCTTGCCTCTCCAAGACCACCGCCGGCGGACTCGCGGCGGACGGGCTGCCGCTCGCCAGCCTCCACAACGGGCCCTACCTGCCGGCGCAGATGGCCACATGGAGCCGGAGCTCTAAGTCCGGGGGGGATTCGCAACCTGTTGCCCCGTGTTTACAACCGTGCCACGTCAAAGAGGAGGCGTTTTGTGGCCGCTATCCGGATGACGGCAATCATAACAGAGACACAGCAGAGCCGGCCGTCTACATCCGGCTGGGGGACAATGGCTGCCGACCCCAGGCGAGCGGCGTCTTCCAGGTGCACGGCGCTGAGGAACGGCTTCGGCCGGCCCCCTCCGGATTGCCTCTTGGTCTCCCGGCCGCGGCGGCCGAACCGAGTTCGGGCCGTGAGAGCGCGGGCGGGGAAGCCGGCCAGGTGGATGATGACGAGGATCGGGACACTAAGCAGAAGGCCAAGAGTGACAGCTGCTCGGAGGACTCGGATGTGCAATTCAAAGGTACTCCCACGTTTGACTGGACCCCCAAACGATTGAGTGCGAGATAGCCCAATAATGCAGACTTCAACCTCACCCAACAGCATCCTGGGGCATTAACACCTTTACATTAATGTGTGACACTGTGAGAAGAGCACTTATCATGATATAAACACACACACACACACACACACACACACTATGCCATTCGTCTACAGACCACTACTTTTAAACTGTCATAATCTTCGCCTCGAAATTGTACCGTCAACCTAAAACGTGGCACCTTCATTATTATCAATTCCTAAAAATCACCGTGCTATGGTTTATTTAAGACGAAAAAGCTCCAGCCAATACGTCTAAATAATACCACTAGGAAGATGTACTTAATGCGTTACCGTTGTGGCACTGCAGCCACAACAGCGTGTTTCAGCAGCTTTTACATTCTTTCGAAGTCAGCGTTCACTTCTTTCCAACTTGAACACAAACAATTCCATGTTAAGACAAGAGCATTTATGTAGTACTCATCATTAATTAAGCTTGATGAGTTAAGTGTGCTATTGTGCATCGATCAGTTACGTATATTCTCCTGCTTTTTCTTCTAGCTTGCGTGCGTATGTGTCTGCGTGCATGAGGATGTAAATGTTTTGGTGGTTCTAAGACTGTCCACAGTAGGGTAATTATTTTAACTTGCGCTTTGTGCGCGTGAGTGCGTGTATTTGTGTACGTATGGTACCGAACAGAATGCTTCCTTGCACTCCCCACCGCTTTTTAATGTCTTGCTTTACTAGAGCCACAATTGTTTTATTTTTGTATTTGAGAATAGAGAGCCCTCTGGCTCTAGTGCACCAAAGTAATAAAAACATTTATGGCAGTCTGAGGTCCAACACCGACAGTAAAGTAACCATAATAAAGGAAGGCGCTGACGTCGTAATTTGATGCAATTGCATTCTAAACAGAGGTAATTGGAGCAGGAAGTATGTTCGCTTGTCAAAATAAGAGCCTTTCTCCACGTACAGCTACATTTAATTATCATGAATATTATTGTTGGAGCGAGACAGTCCTGTCCTGAGACACAACAACTACAAAATAATAATAATAATAATAATAATAATAATAATAATAATAATGTGTTCCCTGTGACTGATTGGCGACCAGTTCAGGGTCAATCCCACCTTCTGTCTGAAGCCATTTGGGATAGGTTCCAGCACCACCCGTGACCTTTGGTCAAGCGGTGTTGAAAAGGGATACTACTACGACTACTACTACTACTACTACTACTACTCCTACTACAACTAATAATAATAATAATCATAATAATAATAATAATTATAATAATAATAATCATCATTATTATTATTATTATTATTGTTGTTGTATTTATGTTGTGAAGAGGTAATAATGAGATCCACACCTCATGCATCAGTTTGCAACAATGTAAGTTTTATGTCTAAAGCATAATTCTGAGTTTGCTGGTTGCTGGTGTGTGTGTGTGTGTGTGTGTGTGTGTG